TATAACAATTCAATAATCTTGGATTTTCAATTCCACGTAAGTCACAGGGTTGTCAAGAGGAAAAAACTAGGATAGGGACTTTCCTGCCACGTTGTAGGTTGATTTGTTCCGTTCATGTTATAAATTTTTATTTGTAATTCAAATTTTGTAAAACTTGTTATGTTTTAACTAGACGATACCTGTCACGTGACAAAAAGTTTCCATTCAAAATTTTCTCTTCATGAAGCTCATGAATATATGCACCTACCCGTTATCATTATATATGTACTCTTGTGATGGGATATATGGAGTTGAAGTTAATGTTGACTATTGTACATAATCCAAGAAAGTGCAACTGAGTTTTAAATGAGGCAGTTACATCTGCATAAGAAACCGATTATCTTGCCCTGTGCTGGAGTTCTACAAGGACATGTGCAGGTATAGCCAGAACTATATAACAATCATATAAAGCTGGCACTCCTTTAATTCAATCTGTTTCAAGGGATAAGCCTTATTAAATGAGGCATTGGCAAGTAGCGAGGGTGTTGGGTAGCAGCCATTGTCATGCCAAAAATATGGAGTTTTTATGTCATCAAAATGCCGTTGCTTGGTTTGAAAGTGTCCAATTTAAGGAAAGATTCTCAATCATCTAGTGACCTTAACCACAATTCTTTCCTAATTTGATCTAAACAGATGGTGATTAATCTTCTGTTTAGCTGCAATTATATGTATTTATAATTAACTCCCCACCCTCTTCAAATCCAACTTTCGAAATCAATAAGTTGAGAGGTAATATATGACATGAGAAAAATGTTTGAGGGGTTCTTGGTTTGTCTATCTTAGACTCCTACAGTGAGATATCTCAGACTGAGAACACCAGTTCTTGCTTTTTATTAAAAATAAAAATAAAAACCAAAATTAAATTTGGCCTTGTGGAGTTTTTTTTTTTTTTTTTTTTACAACAAACGACAGAATTTTATTCGAACAACTGGATATATATATTTGGGTGATGAAGCATGTAAATATATATGTGATCAAAGCTAAAGCAACATTTTCATTTTCCAAACCTTAATTAGAAAGCAAGAAAATCTCACCAGAAAGAAGGCTTGCCTTGTGGCCACATGAGGTTGGTGAAGGCTTGAGCTGCATCGAGCTCGCAGGCATCGTCGATGCCAAAGCTTTCGTTCAAGGGAATGACAGGGCTCTTCCCTTCATAGCTTTGGTAAGGCTTGGGGCTTGTGTGCTTCTGCTTGGTCTCTTCAGGCAGATCAAACAAAGCTTTCATGGCCGCCACCATTTCTTCACGTAAATTCATGGGGATCTCATCCTTCACTAACAAAAGAAAGCAGCCATAATTCTCACATGCCTCTCTAACTTTGTTGTTCATAGCTTTCCATTCCTCAGTCCCTTGCTTTTTTAAAACTAAACCCTCTGAAAAATCAAGAATTGGAAGTACTTGATCAGCATGAGCCTCCTCTCCCATCTCTCTTTCTCTCTCTTTGTCTGTCTCCTACTCTCCAACTCTTTTCTTAGAAATTTAAGGGGAAACCCTCACTCAATATATAGGAAGCTATGGCTAATGGCTCCACAGGGTAAACCCCCCACCAAAAAAAAAAAAAAAAGTCTTAAAGATTAATTGTGCCTACCCTTTTGGCTGGTTATTTGGGCACCCAATTATTTTTCTACCCTTTTTATTTCTTTGATCGGATGTAGATCTTATGTCACAATGACATGTCATCACTCCTATGAGTAATATATACATCCCTTGTCATTAGCTAATGCCTCTCATTTGGATATATATCATTCTTTGCTATCAAATTTTGCCAAACTATAACTTATTAATATAAGAGGAAGGCTACTTTAAGCAAAATTTGTTTAATCAAAATGTTTTGCTAATTAGCAAATAAAACAGCTATTTATATAGACTTTTTAGTTGTCATAGTCCTTGAACTTAGACTCAATTTGCATTTTGCTCCTCGAATTCATAAAATGGTTGACGTAGTCCTTCAACTTCACTTTCGTTTCCTGCCATCATATTTGTTAGATTTTCTATTAAATTTAGGGGTAAAATTGTTACTTCAAATCCAACCCCCATCACTCACACCAGCACCACTCCCACCACCACTTTTACCAAAATCCACCATTTCCACCACCATGAAAACAAAGAACAAGACCCCGTTGCCTTCTTTGATTTTTTTTTTATTTACACCCATCAAACATCTAAGTTCACTCCAAAAAAATTTCCAAAACCTTAAAATCCAACTATAACGTCTGACCAACACTGCTAACGGAAGTGGAATTCAGGGACTAATTATCAACTATTTTGCAAATTCCATGACTAAAATGTGAATCATGTCTAAATTTAGAGACCATGGCAACTAAAATGATTTACAAATTCATAGAGTTTTGATATAATATTAGCGAATTATGATATGTAGTGATCTCTACGAAACCAAGAAGGATAAATTATCTAGTTGAAAGCAAAAATGCATATAGTTTGTAACAAAAGTAGATATGGAGAGAAAAAAAAAATACCTTCACAAAGTTTTAAGAAACAAATACCAAAGGTCGATGGTTCCAGTTTCTTCTAGTCAGATGATCTTAAATACAAACAGCCCACAGCTCTGTGAGTTGAAGAGAAGACTTTCGTACCCACATGGGTTCATATTGTGCAGCTCCTCTAATAAAGATATGGGGTGAGGGAGGGGGTACCCAAATAATTTGTCCAAATTCAATATAAACCCTAACATTTAAGGATCCCTCTCAATTATCATTCATAATAATAAAATAAAAACCTCATTTTCAAATCAATCAATGCTTTGTGTTTCTGTATTAATTAAGTTTGTCATTTATGGTGTGTGGTTCCTTTTTTCCCCTTTTTCTTCTTTCTTTCATTTATATTCCGTTGGCAATATTGAAAATGATTAGGGAGCATAATGTTATGTACTGGTTGGAAAATGATATGTGAGTAGATTGAAGAAGATGTGCAACAGTTGTATCCCACAAATTATAAAAAAAATAAATTCAGCTGATGAGACATGCACCAAGAACAAACTCTTTGTGCTTGACTCGACATTCGACAAGTCGGCAAGCTACACATGGCACATTATATGTTACATAAATTGCTCTATTGGGAATTTGTGAGGCTAATTGAAACACACACATATATATACATATATAATTATTATTTGACTTGCGAGTCGGTCCAACAACCATGTTCATTTTGTCTCGCTATCTTATTTATCTTCATTTTGTTATAATTTTCCTTTACTCATTACAGGCGGATGTGTTTCGGTGTCGAATCTCTACTTGTGTTTTGATGTCGGATTTCTACCACCATTCTTTTTGTGATTTCTTCAAGTTTGGAATAAGTCACAAAGACCCTTTGGATTTAATGTGTAATTTTCACATCTTCTTTTGTGAGAGTTTTTCACCTCTCTTATGCGAGAGTTTTATTTGTATTGCTGTGACTTGGATTTCTCAAGCTTTATCTCTTTTTGGTTGTTCTGAGTTTGCAATCTTAGTTGAGATGTTTATACTAGAGTTTCTTCGATCATGCGTGATCGTTAGTGGAGAAACCCCATATTGTCTTAATTTTGATGTTAGATCACTCCGTTATTGTAATTGTCTTTTGTGACTAATGACTTTTTTGGCTGAATAATAAATGCAATCTCATAATTTCTCAACCAAAAAAAAAATCACTTCAACTTGTGGTCTCAAATGAAATTAATTAGCTTCTAGATGGATTAAGGTATCTTTTTCTTCAAAATCTTTCTTTTATCTTTTTGGCTAATAAAACCCTTAAGTTGGTGAATTAAAATGGATCCCTAGTTGTTAAGGGGTCATCTAATGTCACAATTACATGCCTTTGATTCGATTGGTGACATGGTAGGTATATGCGGTGATGTTTATACTTGACAATGCTTTACCCACTATTCATACCATATTTACAAATCACATCAATTTTTTGTTAAAAGAAGATTTTTGTGAAGCCCACGCCAATGGAAATGAGTTTCACATTAATGTAGTCCATGGACAATTATGGACCAAGCCATTGTCATAGTTGTTGCTGAAACAAAGTCAGAGGGAAAGATTAATTGTCACTTTTTGGTTGCCAAACCATTAAACATGTGCAATATTCTGTGCATTTTATTATGTCTTCTGGGTAATTGTACAGTTGTGGCTTTATATATAAGTGGTCCCAGAAACACAGCACGCAATATTTTCTTGCTTTATGAGACCTTTCACAATTAGGTCCTAATAAAAATGGTGGAAGATTTAAGTAGGGTATGGACCATGGACCATGGTCATTGGTGTCCCAGACTCATAGACTTGGTAGGGTTGCACCAACATGTAGAACCCTTTGCCCCTCCTACCAAGGTACACTCAAATGGGTCAAAAACTTTACCACATTATGAAGGAATCTTTTTTGAATACAAGCGATAATCTAAACTACAAGGAGATTGAGATTTCATACATAACCAAAGTATTATGAGGGTTCAAACCTGAGACGGTCTGCAAGTCAAAACTCTTTTCCACTGGGCTAGACTCGTTGGCCATTATGAAAGAATCTTTGACATGAATGTGAGAGAAAAAGAGGGTAAAGAAAGTGACAAAAAAATTACGTGTTTTCTCTGTGGAGCAAAAGATTCTTTTTCTTCTTCTTTCGTTTTCTTAATGCTTTCTCTTTGAAGCAACTCGATGGCTTCTGTGGACCAAGCCACGCAGAATCCCATTTGAACTATACTCACTTTGGTTGAATCTCTTCAAATTTGACTACCTAGAGCTAGCTATCCATTTTTGTGTCACTTTGTTAGTTTCCTTTGCACACCTGCCTTAAACTTTTGATTTCAGAAGTTGGTGGCTAAGAGAGTTGCTTAGATACGCTTTGTACATTAATGGGTCTATTTCAAAACCAACAAACAAGAACCACTTTGTTTTCTAAATTTATCAAATTTCAATTCTGCATGGCTGCTAAAAACAAATTGCAGACGCAAACTGCAAAGAGCCTGAGAGTGTCCTCAAGTGCTAATTCCAGCAAATGCAAAAACTTGCTTTGCTGAGTCAATGGCCACTCCTTCCTCTGAAGAAAAGAACCTAAAAAATTCCGTAAAGTCAAACTCTTTAATTATTTGGGGATGTTCTTCATCTCTTAGCTCGTTTGGTGGCTTGATGATGGTACCCTCTGTTGGAACTGGAAATATTCCTAACGAAATTCGTTCTTTCTCTCCGCGCATCATCACTCGATGCTTCACAGGATGCATTCTTCCATTACTCCATGCCTGCAAGTCAATGTTCCAATGACCACAAGTTATCATTAGTGATTTTTAACCTTTGTTTAATTTTTACATCATCAAAGTTTAAGGCAAGGGAAAACTTCAGCCCTCTCAGAAGGTGTTACCAAGTTCCATATTTGCTGCACAATTTTAATTAGTTCACATGGTCTAATTGTATTTACTAATAATTTGTACCATAAGAGGATCTCCAACAATAAAGAGAAAGGAGCTAGGAGAAAGAGACAATTTGACCCATTGTCCATCCTTGGTTTCAAATTCAATCCCTGAAACTTGATCCTCACAAAGGATGGCGCTCAACAGTTTGTCAGTGTGAGCAGTGAGCCCTACCTCCTCCCCTGATGGAGGTGCACTGTACTTCATTACTCGTAGCAGCATCTTGCACGGTACGATCGAATCTGATTTCTCTCCCAAACCATAACTATCAAGAATCATCATTTCAATCACGTCCTTCAGCTCATCCAGCTGCCTCATCATAGTAAGTATAGCGTTGCTGTTGGAAACAGAACAACATCCACAAGTGCTTCAGCAATAAATATGAGGATAAAATGTAATGGGGTACGCATATATAAAACCATGTTATATATAGGTTGAATTGAACAGGCTCAAAATAAGCTAAAAATAAATAAAAAATTATTACCAAAAATGGTCATGGCCATTAGGCCAGAGTAGTTCTGTGAATTCTCTAACAGCTTCAAAGTTGGAGGCATCTTCAAGGCCAAGGCTCTCATACAAGGGAACATGTGGATACTCTCCACAGTAACCATGGAAAGGCTTTGGATTAACATTCTTCTTCTTTGTTTCCAGTGGAAGGCTGAAAAGTTGCCTTATCAGTGAGAAGGCCTCTGCTCTTAACTGCAGAGGTATCTTATCATACACTATTTCAAAACATCCATAATTTTCACAAGCCTCTCTAACCCTCTTGCACAAACTAGGGGTGGGCATCTAAAACCGAAATACCGAAACCGTACCCTAACAGAACCGTACCGTACTGATTTCATACCGTTTTATTTGGTATGGGGAGATTTTTGGTACCGTACCGTACCGTACCAATAAAGAATGGTACGGTAGCGGTATCAAGTTTTTGATACCGGTTTGAAACCATACCGTACCGAATAGTAATATTGAAATATAATTTTGACAGAAACACGCTGTCTCTCACTCCAAAGCCAAACCCTCTCACTCACTCACTCTGACAGAAAGAAGAAACGCTCTCGCTCGCTCTCACTCTCAAACTCGCTCTCACTCCATACCCAGACCAGACCCAACTCTCCGTCTCTGTCTCTCTCTCAATCTCACTCGATTCAAGCTCTCTCTGTCTCTCACTCTCTCAAACTCGATCTGTCACTGTCAGCTCTCTAGCAGCCCCAAATCGACGAAGGGAGAAATGGTAATTTTGTTGTGATTTTGTTAATTTATTTAGGGTTAATGAAATGTTGTTGATTTATGTTATTTTTGTTAATGTTAGTCTCTGGATTTCTTGTGCTGTGTCTTTAGTTGTAGAGAATTTCCCTTGATCCCCCTTCCCATCTCCGCAAAATGTAACAAACTATTTAACACCAATCATTTTGTATAAACAAACTATTTTTTATTATGCTGTGTCTTTAGTTTGTGCTGTGTCTTTCGCATGCTGTGTCTTTCCCTTGATTCCCCTTTCTTGTGCTGTGTCTTTAGTTGTAGATAATTTTAACACCTACTTTTTGGCCATACTTTCCACCATTTTCTGAACACCCATATTATTTTAATCCCATGATTATCTGTTTCTTGCCTTGATCTGTTGGTAGATGTTTTATCTTTATTTCCATTGCCATGCTTTATGATTTTCCAGATATAATTCTTTTGTTCTTCTTGTGGTAGGCTACATCGAGCATCTATTAGCCATCTACATTCTGCTGCTATGACGTGCACACCACCTTGGAAATTTGAATTTTACTGATATGTTTTTATTACATTAAAAGTTGTTTCATAAATTGGTGCCTGTTGTGTTATTATGATTTTTGTTAATTCTTTTCATGCAGTCTCGATCAAGTAAGCATCAGGAGCACAGTGGGCTTGCTGTTTCTTCAACAGCAACATCACCAGCACCACCACAGTTTGCTATGCAGCCGGAAGCCCAACCTTCTGAAGCTCATGTGCCTATTGAATATGTTGAATTTGATGAATCTGTTGATGAATCTATTGAATTTGTTGAATTCAACATAACTATTTGAATTTGATGAATCTGTTGATGAATTAAATATTGATTTGGTTGATTTGGATTTGGTTGATTTGGATATTGAATATGTTGATTAGGATTTGGATATTGAATATGTTGAATATTTGAATTAGGATTTGGATATTGAATATGTTGATTAGGATTTGGATATTGAATATGTTGAATATTTGAATTAGGATTTGGATATTGAATATGTTGATTAGGATTTGGATATTGAATATGTTGAATATTTGAATTAGGATTTGGATATTGAATATGTTGATTAGGATTTGGATATTGAATATGTTGAATATTTGAATTAGGATTTGGATATTGAATATGTTGATTAGGATTTGGATATTGAATATGTTGAATATTTGAATTAGGATTTGGATATTGAATATGTTGATTAGGATTTGGATATTGAATATGTTGAATATTTGAATTAGGATTTGGATATTGAATATGTTGATTAGGATTTGGATATTGAATATGTTGAATATTTGAATTAGGATTTGGATATTGAATATGTTGATTAGGATTTGGATATTGAATATGTTGAATATTTGAATTAGGATTTGGATATTGAATATGTTGATTAGGATTTGGATATTGAATTGGTTCTTTTTTTAGTTGTGTCATTTTTGGTACCGAAATGGTACCGATACCGTACCGATATCGATTTGGTACGGTACGGTACGGTACCAATTTTGACAAACGATAATCCCATACCGTACCATACCGATTTAAATTTCCGGTATCGGTAGTGGTATGGGCTCAATACCGTACCATACCGTACCGTGCCCACGCCTAGCACAAACTGTTCCACTCATCAGTTCCTCTGTCCACTGCCAGAGAAGTCATTGACAACTCTATGGCCGGAAACCCGTGCCGAAAATCTGAACCCATTTTCTCCTACTTGTCCTGAAGCCAAGTACTGTTTCTTAATTCTAGTTGTGCTTTGGTGAATTGCTTCTTTGTTGGAGGATTTTATTTATATTGCACATGGTTCTTCTAGTGACAATGATACACAGACAAATACCAACTAGAATCAAAGACCAATCAGAGGCCATCAATTAGACATAAAAGCTGTCCAGAAAATTCAAGAACACTAGAAGCTTACATAATACAACGTTAACTAAACAACCAACTGTATCCATCACCTTACACAAGCATCTGAGAAATTGCAGATCAATAGATGGTTCGTTTGTTTGCTACCAAACATATTAGAATCATGGCCGGCCATGTCGTGTTTCAACATAAACTAATATTTTTCAAGTAGATACTTTTTATTACCCCTTTGTTGTCTTCACCATTCACTTAACAAAAATGGGCACGGCTCCATTAACCATTGTATACTTTTTGTATTGACAAATTGTGCAGCCATTGATATTCAGGCTCTATCAAAAGCATGCATTATAAAGAACATGAATCAACTAAAGGAACTGAATGCCGTCCTGCCTTCGATGATCGAAACTCTTGCTACGCCACTATCTCTTTCAATCAATGACGGAGAAATTTGAACTAGAGGCTCCAAATTAACAATATTTTATAATTCTCAAGTTTAACATTACATTCCTTTTCTTGTCCTCCATTGAAACTGCATATTATCATCTGAAGAAGAATCGCCAGCTCAGAATTATACGCCTTAAACAACTTTGAAACCGAATGAGAATGGAAGCATAAAATTTCTATAGAGCTGTTTGAAGAGTTGCAACAGGTCCATGAAGCATGAACATAGAATACAACAAAATTGGAGCAACACAAAATTGCTTCGGCTTGACAATCATATCAAAATTGCTTCAGTTCGTTGTTTAAAAAATTGGAAAAAACCATGTATAGCCGCGCGGCTATACTATTTCTTTTTTAAACAATTGGGAAAAACCACGTATAGCCGGGCGGCTATACTATTTCTTTTTAAAAAAATTAACAAACCAAGTATAGCCGATCGGCTATACTATTTCTTTTAAAATATTCAGAAAAACGAGTATAGCCGCGTGGCTATACGTTTTTTTTTCAAAAGAGCCAAGTAAAAAATTGTATAGCCGCGTGAGTATACTCTTTTTTTAAAAAAATTTCAAAATCCGAGTATAGCCGCGCGGCGATACTATTTATTTTAGAAAAATTTGGAAAACCCCCAGTATAGCCGCGCGGCGATACGATTTCTTTTTAAAAAATGGAAATGGCTATACTATTTCATTTTAAAAACATTTTGGAAAAAACCAAGTATAGCCTGTACTACTTCTTTTGTGTAAAATTACCAAACAAACCGGTATAGCCACACAGCTTTACTATTTCTTTTTTAAAAAAAATTGGAAAATACGAGTATTGCCGGGCGGCTATACTATTTCTTTTAAAAATCTTTAAAAACCTTTTTCTAGTTGAGAGCATATTTATCAATTCAAATCATGCCCATCAAACCTCTTGTTTAACATCACATTTCTTTGGTTACAGATTTCGTCTCAGAACAAATTGCAGCTTGAAACTGAATAGTTTGTTGCTCAAATATGAATAGGTTTTAAAAAAATTATATAAATATAAACTTAGTATCTTTAGGTCAATAAATTTTATTTTTTTATAAATTTTCTTTTCAGTAATTAAATAATATCTTAGCCCGATTTAATTACTTTCATTAGTAATTCTGTTTTAACTATTATTTCTCTAGTGAATAATTAGTATTAAATATTTTAATTAACATCATAAATGATATTACTTAATAAATAGTATTTAGTTTTTAAAATTTTTGAATTTAATAAAATTCTTAAATACTAATTATTCACTAAGTAAACAATAATTAAAACACAAGTAATAATTAAAGTAATTAAAAAAGAGAAATTCTGATTATGGTATTTATAGAGTATCGCCGCGCGGCTGTGCTTTTAAAATATTCTATTTGTAGCGTATAGCCGCATGGCTATACTCTTTAAAATAAATAAATAACTAAATTGGGCCGCCTAGGGACTGTGCGGGTCCTTTTAAATAAAACAAATAGTATAGCCGCACGCCTATACTCTTTAAATATCTAATGGGTGCCTTTTTTTCCTTCTTTTCTTGTAATTTTTTTCTCCTTGGTTTTCCTTTGTCGATAAGACTAGTCTAGAGCATTATCCATTACGTTTAGGCCATTCCCAAGGTATAGCTATTGTCCCCTTTTGATTTTTTACTTTTCTAGAGTTATTACCGGTATAAAGAATTTAGCATTTTCCCATTTAATATTCGTATTTTACACATACGTACGTGTTTTTCAATAATACTTCCGTTTTTTGTATACGTCTTAAAGACTCGGTATAATGAAAGCAAACATATATTACATGTATTGTACATGTACGCACATATTTTAATGATTATTTAATATCAAAGAACAAAAAAAAAGTCCACAAAATAATTCAAAATAATTAATTACTATTTACCAATTAATTTACGAAATCAGTCAAATATTTAAATATTCACTAAAGAAATAATAATTAAAAGATAATTACTAATTAAAGTAATTAAAAAAAGGCTAAGGTATTACTTAATTACATGTATTAAATTAAAGAAGGCCAAAAAACAAAAGTAAAGAAACTAATTTTATATTTGCTGACGAAAATGCGTCGGCACATTTTCTTCTCTTGCATATTATTATGTGTTACGGTAATATCATGTGGCATATGTTATGTGTTGCTATAAGTTCACTCAAATTATAACATTTGTAAAATTATAAACTCTAAAATTATACATGTGTTATAATATAGATTTATAAGAAAATCTGATGTCTCACAAGGAGTATATTTCTTTATCCCCAACACTTATTATGTGACCATGTTATGTGACAAGTGCTATAAACAGAAAGGAATATATCCCAGATTGCAAGTAAGATTCTCTCATAGACATAAATTCTATGTGCAATATTGTCGAAAATGTACCGATAACATGTCGATATATTTTGTTGCTGAAAATAATATCGACACATAATAAACGATATATCAACAATTCATTTTTAATAAAGAACAAACGTCTAAACTATACCTGGACTACTCTAATGAATTCATAATTCCACGCATATCAAGCCATTTTACCCCCACCACACCCATGCAAGTAGTAAAAATAAAGAATAAAATAAGAGAGTAAACAAGTTCCAAGTTGTAGACTTATTTGCCAGTTGATTGCAACAGATGATTATTCCCCGGAATACTTTATCCACTATATTCACTCTCTGGTGTCAACTCCAAGTTGTAAAAAAAACTTAAAAAACAACTAATGGATTCCGTGGAATCACACCGACCTTGCAGATTATTACCATTACTGAATCCTTCTCTTCCTCTCAAAATCTTTCTTCCTAGAGAGACAACTTTCCTGGAAAACGAAAGAAAAATCACTGCTTTCCCAGAAAATGGTTGAGCCAGAAGAGGAAAGCCAAACTCAAGCCATTCCGCCAAAGTCAAAGAACATAGTGGACGACAGAGAAGCTGCGCTCATGGAGTTTGATCTTGACCTCGATGCTTTTTGGCCGTTGGATCCGATTCACTTTCCTTCTAACCCCACATCCCCTCCTTTGTTTCCGTCCACTGACCAGCCCTGTTCTCCTTTATGGGGTTTTCCTGATGGTGATGCTGATAATGATGATAAGCTCGCTGGACAAGTTGATCAAGCTCTTTCTGACCGTCCTCAATTCAGTTCCAGTTCCTGTGAGTTGTTCATATTGGGTTGTGCTCTTTTGTTTTTTTCTTTTCTGGGTCGATCAGTTTTCTCTGTCTTACCATTGAATTTGGTTTTTCTGAATCAGAAATCTTTTAGAAGTTTGTATGTTCATTGTGATAATCATAGAACTCGGCTGAACAAATGCTTTCCTGGGCGGTGTTCGAAAAATCGGCCTAGGCGGCTAGGCGGTCGTGTCCTTTTTTTAATTTTTTAAAATATAAATAGATTTTTTTTCCTGACTTTAAACATTTATTTGGTATTGAGTAATAAAATTGTACTCTTAGAATTAAACAACAAAATAATAAAGGGTCAAAAAGTGTTTCCTTTACTTCACATGTTATCGAATACAAATAATATATATTAAAATATTATATAGTGGAAGAACTTTCAAGCTGTAATTTTCCAAAATTTTGCAAAAAAAATATGCGCGTATTTTATTCGTATATTCGCGCTATTATACCAAATTAATATCTATAAAGTATAAACTAATGCAACTATGAGAGTTTTTTTAAATTTATTTTTATTAAATTGTATAGCCGGTCGGCTGTACTACGGTTTAAAAAAAAAAATTAGTATAGCCTATACTCGTTTTATCTAATTTTTTTACACATAAATAGTATAGCCGGGCGGCTGTACTCGGTTTTCCCCCTTTCTTTAAAAAGAAATACTATAGCCAAACGACATTACTGGGTTTTTTTAATTCTTTTAAAGAAATAGTATAGCCTCGTTTTTTCCAATTTTTTTTTTAAAAATACTATAGCCGCACTTCATACCAAATTAATATTTCAATAATACATCCTTGTTTTGTAACCATACTAAGGACTCCGTAAAAGTCACATTTTTTTTTAAAGAGAACATACAATACTTGTATTGAACATGTACATAAGTATTTTTCATGTTTAATACACATTTTTTACAAAATTCACGTATTATACACATAATTATCACATATTATTGAATACAAATAATTTATATTAAAATATAATATAGTGACGGAACTTTTAAGTTGTAATTTCCAATCAGACGCCATCTATAGTTTTTAATTTGGATCACTTGATAGGGAGAGCTGGAATCTTTAATTAGAATATCAACTTATTAAATTAGCCAGTATAATCCAAGAACACTAGAAGCTTACATAATGCGATGTTAAGTTGTTAACTAGAAAACCATATACTTATCCATCACCTTACACAAGCATGTTTTTTTCTTTCTAAAGAACCATTTCGTCC